TCAGCCTCCTGAGTAGCTAGGATTCTAGGTATGAGCTACCGCTGCCTGGCTAAGGCTAGATTCTTAACTTTATTTTTGTTCCTGTAGTTTGATTGTTAACTTTATTTGTGTGACCCATAGAGCCTCATGCAGGTTCCCTACTGACCAAACTCTACCCCACTATTTTATTCATTTACATTTTTTGGGGGGGTCCGGTCGTGGGGCTTGAACTCTGGGCCTGGGCGCTGTCCCTCAGCTCTTCAGCTCAAGACCAGCGTCTACCACTTGAGCCACAGCTTATGTGGTGCTGAGGAATCAAACCCAGGGCCTCACCCATGCAAGGCAAGCGCTCTACCACTGAGCCACCTTCCCAGCCCCTCATTTACATATTTTTAAAGTTTATATTTACTTTGGTTATTGCTTTAGATGTGTCCTAAGTATAATAATACTTGCATTATTAGTTTTTATTTAATTTTAAGTTTTTTCCTTCTTTGATCAAGTGTTTTAAAAGAAGACTTTAAAAATAATTACAGGTGGTATTTTTTTTTACATCTTTTTCTTTTTAGTTTTATCAGAGAATGTTGGCAACCTATTTCTACTTTTTGGAATTAAGTTTTTTTTTTTTATTGTGAGTAAAATATATTCAATATCTGTGAATATCCAGTGGGTACTTAAAAGCTGTAGTCTTAGTTTTTAGAGCTTAAAATACATTGGATTTACCTTTTAAATTTTGTATGTAAGTATGTCCTGTCATTACTTCTGTTTGCTTAATCTATAATATGTTGAGAGAAGAAATTAAAGTCTCCAATCATAAATGCTTCTGTTTGTCCTGTGTCTCATTAATCTTGATGCTGTGTTATTTGTAGTATAATCATAATTACTTGATCTTTACTGTGGATGTACTTTATATAAGTAAATAACCACTCTATAACTTTTAATGTTTTGCCCTATGCCAACCTATCTGATTGTGTGTGTGTGTGTGTGTGTGTGTGTGTGTGTATGTGTGTGTGTGTGTTGTATTTGCTATTGTGCTTTTATTGCCTGTGGTTGAACTTTGCTTTGTGATCCAGTGTTAAGATCTCTCTCTCTTCCTCCCTCTTCTCTCACCCCTTCTCTTCCCCTCCGTCCTCCTCCCCCGCCCACCCCCCATCTTTCTTGTCTTTCCTCTCTTCTGTCCTGGAGCTTGAATTCAGCCTAGGTTGCAGTCCTTGAGTTTTTTTTTTTTTTTTTCCTTCTTTACTCAAGGCTAGCACTGTAGCACTTGAGCTACAGCTCTACTTCCAGCTTTTTTTTTCTTTAGTGCTTGAGATTGAGTCTCACCCACTCCCTTGTTTCAGTGGGCTTTGAACTGCAGCCCTCAGATTTCAGCCTCCTAAGTAAACTAGGATTACAGCTGGGAGCCACTGATACTCAGCAGGTTTCTTTTTTTTAATTGCTGGATTTAGGCTCTTTATTTTTTGGACAGCTATGTTTAGTCTGATAAAACATGAAAAAACTAGTATTTTTCTCCATTATTTTAAATTATGATATGGATTTTTTGGTATGTTTTAAAATTTCATTTAAGTTATACTTTGTGTGGGAATGTTTTTTAATTTTGACTTTATAGATATTATAATTAGTGTGTGTGTGTGTGTGTGTGTCTGTCTGTCTGTCTGTCTGTCTGTCAGTTCTAGGGCTTGAACTCAGGGTCTGGGCACTGTCCCTGAGCTCCTTTTGCTCAAAGCTAGTGTTCTACCACTTGATCCACAGTGCCACTTCCTGCTTTTTCTGAGTAGTTTATTAGAAGTAAGAGTCTCACATATTTTCCTGCCTGGGCTGGCTTCAAACTGTGATCCTTAGCTCTCAGCTTCTGAATAGGTAAGATTATAGCCATGAGCCATCAGCACCCCGCTAATATAACTATAATTTTAAATAATAAAATTTGCATATGTATGTATGTGTCTTCAAACACTTGTTTTGGTTAGTTTTGAGGGAAGGGAAGCGGGGAAGAAGAAAAGTGGGAATCATTTGAGGTAGGCAGGCTACATGCAGCCTCATTAAACCTTTCCAGATCTCTCTCTCCAGTGCTTGCTACCAACATTCTCGCTCTTCAGGTAGTGTTCCTACCAAGCTGCCAGAATTGTTCTTCTGCTAGTTCTAATTTGCTGTTACTGTTCAGTTGTAGTTTATATTATTTTTTAGTTCTGTTGTGCAAACATGTACAACTACAGGTGTGTGACTTTTTTTTTTTTTTTTTTGAGGTAGAGTCTTGTTGAGTAGCTCAGGTCAAACCTGAACCATGTAGCTGACGCTGGCTTCGAACTCCTGATCCTCTCGCCACTTCTCTTTCTGAGTGCTGGGGTATAGTCTACCCTACGCCTAGCTTTAGTATGTATGTTTTATTTGCTCTTAAGATAGACATGTCTGTAAAACATGATCGTTGAGCTTTCAGAGGTTTTGGTGTCACCTGTCTACCTTAGCTCCTTCCCTTTTCCTTCTACCCATTTTGCATTTTATTCTGTAACTTTATCACCACAATATGTTAGATGTGTTCCTATGGCTGAGTGAATTTACCTTCTGATTGACAGTAGCTTTGGTGTAGCTTTTCCATTTATCTCTTCCAGCTCTCCATTTGTTTCCTCAGGAAGGATGGCTTGAGAGGATTGGTTGAATCATTACATTTCTGAAATATCTGCCTGTTACATTTGATTTTGAACAGTAGTTTGGCTGGGTATAAAATTCTTGTTTTGGGGCTGGGAAGGTGGCTCAGTGGTAGAGCGCTTGCCTCGCATGCATGAGGCCCTGGGTTCGATTCCTCAGCACCACATAAGCTAAAAAAAGCCGGAAGTGGCACTGTGGCTCAAGTGGTAGAGCGCTAGCTTTGAGCTGAAGAGCTGAGGGACAGTGTCCAGGCCCAGAGTTCAGGCCCCATGACTGGATGCAAAAATAAATAAATAATAAAATTATTGTTTTTTTCTGAAGTCTGTATAGGAATTGTTCCTCTGATTTTATATCGAATGTTGGTATGAGGAATTTAAAAGTTGGTAGGTTCTTAACAATGGTTGAACTAAAAGCCTCAATGCTTGTTTGGCTGGTGCTCTACCACTAGAGCCACACCTCCAGTCTAGCCTTTTGCTGGTTGTTTTGGAAATACACTCTCGAAGACTAGTCTTCCCTGGCTGGCTTTAAAGCTCACCCTCCTGGGTAGATTTACAGGCATGAGCTACTAGCAGCCTGGAAGTAGATTCTTTTCATCCTTCATATGAATTCATCTTTTTTACTAGATGTCAAGGATTTCTCTTCCAAGCTCACTGACTTTACTAGGATAGATATTCATGAGCAAATTTTTTTTTATAATCTACAGATTTACATCTTTCATTTTTTGGAAGCTTTTCTTGAACTATGTCTGCCTTTTTTTCCCCTCTCTTGCATTCTTTTGTTCTAAGTACCATTTAGTTTTACATTTCCTTTGTCTTAGGTATTTATTATTTTGCAGTTCTCCTTAGTTCTTGTTAATTTGTTTCATTCTGCTCATGTCCTTGGTCCTGTGCTGTTTAAGTTTTACTGGTTGTTGATGGTGTCCATGCTGCCTTGAGCTATTTCTAGCTTTCTCTCATTGAGTGAAGTCGGGAGGCCTGAAGATCTTTAGCTCTTACTGGGAGGTAAGATACCTTGCAAGCGAGTATCGTGAAGATTTGATTCTGTCACGCTGAGGACGGTAGAATGATCTGTGTCCTCAGAGCTGACTGAATATCCTTGTTCCTAAGAATGAGCTATAAGTAATTCTGTATGGTTTGTCAGAATTGTGATATTGTCTAAAATGCATGGCAGCTGAAGGAAAATATGCAACATCGAGGAAAAGATCAATTTGGATGGCTTTTGAATGTGTGTTTAAAAATTGTACTTAGGGGCTGGGAAGGTGGCTCAGTGGTAGAGTGCTTGCCTTGCATGCATGAGACCCTGGGTTCGATTCCTCAGCACCACATAAGCAGAAAAAGCTGGAAGTGGCGCTGTGGCTCAGGTGGTAGACCGCTAGCCTTGAGCTGAAGGGCTGAGGGACAGTGCCCAGGCCCAGAGTTCAAGCCCCACCACCAATGGGGAAAAAATAAAAAGATGGCCTGGCTTGTCTTTCTGCTAAGCAGGAAACGCACTCTAGAGTCCAATAGCAGAGCAGTGGCCCCGCTGACGTCAGGTAGGTTTTTCTGGATAGGGTAACAAAGTTAAATATTGGTTTATGTGGGTGGGCCTGGGACCATTACCTGAGTCTCAGGGGTGCTCAGCCTTCTCACAGTGCTATTGTCGGCAATCACCCTCATAAAAATCTGAAAGCAAGCAAGCAAAAAAAATTTTTTTTTTTCTTTTTCTTGCTCTCAGAGCAAGTTTGCCTTCTGCTGCATTTCATGCGGCGCCTCCCAGGACCGCGCGGTGGCCTGTGGCCGGGCTGCCTTTGCTGCTTCACTGAGGCCCAGGGCCAGCCCTGTCCCCTCCAACAGCAGTGTGGGCACCAGCCAAGGACCCCAGCAGGCAGCCCCGCCCCCTTGCCAGTGGGGAGGGGAGCCGAGGGGCGGGCGAGCCTCCGATCCTGCCCCGAGAGGTGTGGTAAGGAAGCCGGTAGCTCTTGCCTGCCTGCCAGTGCCTTGCGCTGTGCACTGTGCTGTGTGTTCTGTGCCTTAGCAACCCAGTCCCCAAAACAAAAGCAACCGAGCTGTCGGCTAGGTGGCTGCCTGCTCAGGCCTGAGGCCAGGTAGAGACACCCAGGGCTGGGGTAGGGAGGGGACTGGCGGGGAGGGGAGCAGGGAAGGGAGGAGGCATTCCAGTGCTAGGCCCCAGGACAATTAAACAGTCCAGACCAGTCAGTGGGTGAGACCAATTTCCTGGTTTGTTTATTTGAGGCTGATTGTTCCCCCCCTCCTGCTGAGCAGCAGGGTACTGTGCTGCCCGGCCCCCCCCCCGCCCCCCTGCACACTTCTCCAGGGCCCAGGACACTGGATGCCGTCATCCTGACCTTTTCTTCATCGTTGTCTTCTTTTTTCCCTGCAGGCATTTGGCTTTATGTCTCGAGTGGCCCTGCAGGCGGAGAAGATGAACCATCACCCCGAATGGTTCAACGTGTACAACAAGGTAACCCAGTCTGCCCGTGTTCAATGTGTCCGAAGCTGACATCACGGTTCACAGCCAGCCCAGGGCAGGAAAGTCCGTGAGACTCTTTATCTCCAATGACCGTTCATAAGCATGGTGAATGCGCTCATGCTCGCCTCCTAGAATGAATATGACGAAGTTGGGCCAGGTTAGGTTTCTAAATTATACTTGGACACCAGCCATTGGGGAAATGTTCAAATTGAGAGTGATTTCTGGAAGGAAATGGTAGCAGGTAGGACGCTCTAGCCTCACTAAGCTTCTTGTACTTTACATAATGCTTGTTCAACTCCGCAGACACAGGACAGACTACGAAGTTTTAGGGCAGAGTAAGAAGAAGCTTCTCTCCCGAAGATGTCCTTGTCTGTGGTCACTTGTTTGGAATGTCTGTCATCTGGATTCTTTGAGGAGTTATATTCTCTTTTTATGTACACTTTGGAAAAAGAAAACTTTACCATGTTTGTAAATTTGTTTTTCTTTTTGGCCAATCCTGGGATTTGAACTCAGGGTCTGTGCACTGTTCCTAGGCTCATTTTTGTTCAAGGCTAACACTCTACCACTTGAGCCACAGCGCCACTTTCAGCATTTTTCTGTGATTAATTGGAGATAAGAGTCTCATGGGCTTGCCTACCCGGGCTTCAACTGTGATCCTCAGAGCTCAGCCTCCTGAATAGCTAAGATTAAAGGCTGCCAGCACCCGGCTCATGTTTGTAATTTTAAAACATAATAAAATATCCTAATATAAGGATGAATCTTTTGTTCCTAATTGGCTTCTCTTGGCCCCTTATTTTTAATTTTTTTGTTAAGAAGCAATGTTCTAGGCTGGGAAGGTAGCTCAGTGGTAGAGTGCTTGCCTTGCATGCATGAGGCCCTGGGTTCAATTCCTCAGCACTGCATAAGCAGAAAAGGCCAGAAGTGGCACTGTGGCTCAAGTGGTTGAGAACTAGCCTTAAGCTGAAGAGCTGAGGGACAGCGCCCAGGCCCAGAGTTCAAGCCCAACAACCGACAAAAAAAAAAAAAAGCAATGTTCTATATGAAAAGCCCCCTCCTCCCCTTTTACAACTAATTGATACTAATAAAATATAACAACAACAAGAATCTTCCCCTTCCCTTATTTGGAAATGTGCTTTCCTAACATGATTGCTAAGATGTTACATTTGGAAACTTGGTTTTTCTCAGTGGCCTTAAAATAGTCAGTATAATTTGACTATTGGAGTTCAAATGGAACTTGATGGCTCCCCCCCAAACCCCCCACCCCGCAAGAAGCAAGACTTTGAGACCCTGGCGGCCGAGTTCTCTCATCCTTTTTATCCTGGGTGGCTGCTGGCCCCCGGCGTTCACTGGGTTTATTCGTGACTCAGTGTTTTCCAAATCGTTTAATCCCACCAGTCTCAAATGTGATCGCTGAATAATAGATTGACTTCTGAGCCACCCAAGGAGAATTCCAGCGCCCTGAAATCCACTTGTCCTTTTCTTAGGTCCAGATAACTCTCACCTCCCATGACTGCGGCGGGCTGACCAGGAGAGATGTGAAGCTGGCGCAGTTTATTGAGAAAGTCGCCGCTGCGGTGTGACTGCCCCCTCGTGTGCGTGGATCCGTGCTGAGCACAGGCGAGAGGCTGTGGCGGGCACCGCTCACCAACAGACGGCCTTGTAAACCCACTGGCAGTTTTACGTTTTGTATAATCAGTTCTTAAATACAAAATGATCGAAACCTGAGCCTGAGGCATTTTTTCATTGTATCTATTCACATACATATGATAAACCAACCCAGGTAACTATTAAGTTATAGAAGTAGTGTTTTTAAAGACCAAAAATTGGGATAGGAGAATGTTCACACGCTTTATAATCCAGAAATTCAAAATCATGATTTTTATAGATGTGTTAGAGAATAGGTATATGTTAGAAAAAGAATCATAATGGGGTTATATAGTAATTCTTTTTTTAATTTTTTTATTTATTTTTTATTGTGAAAATACTGTACAGAGGGGTTACAATTACCTGGGCAAGATAATGAGTACATTTCTTATCAAGCATTGTAGCCTCCTCCTTTGTTTCCCCTTCCCAGCCTCCCCCTGCCCCCCACCCAATCCTCCCCCCCCCCACCAAAATTGTAAAGTTCGTTTTCGACATGACAACTTGTTATATAGTAATTCTTAGGAAGCTAAAGTTGCTTTGGCTCTTAGCTGCTGTTGTAACTTATGTACTTAATTACAATACAGAAGTCACAAATATTGAGAAAACTGTCTTGGTTTGGATGTGTATGTGTGTGTGTGTATACATACACATGTGTGTGCCAGTACTGCAGTTTAAACTCGGGACCTGGGTGCTATCCCTTAGCTTTTGCTGCTCAAGGCTGACTCTCACTTGAGCCACACCTCCAAAGTCCTGTTTTTTGCTGGTTAATTGGAGGTTAAGTGTCACAGACTTTCTGGCCTGGCTTGCAACTGTGATCCCAGATCTCAGCCTCCTGAGTAGCTTGGATTATAGGCATGAGCCACTGGTGCCAGGCTTTTGGTTGTATTTTGTTGTTGTTGTTGAAGGAGAAGACAGCTTGCAGGAAGATACCCTGGCACAAGCACCCACCGTCACTGTTGAACTCACAGAGCTAGGGAGGAGCCGAGGATGCTTTTCATCATTTGCGGGTTGTGACCCCTGAACCGTGAGTTCACAGCTTCAAGGTTTAATGAGGATCATTTTTGTAAGGCATCCAACTTCAGAGGCCAGAGAATGATTCTGTTACAAGCAGCAACCTGGCCCTCCCCGGCCACCCCATGCCCCAGGTGGGAACCAAACCTGGCATCTGAAGGCAAATTCCAGATAGCATGGCATGACCCTCGGCCCTTCAGTAAGCATCCCAGGGAAGCCGTGGTTATCATGCATGCCACAATGCCACCATCTCAAATGCTGAACCTAGAGCAAGTCTCTTCTCTCCCCACTCCTCCACTGACAGAGATAGAATATTCTCCCTTCTGGGTTGGTTTGTTCCTCTGTGGTGTCCCTTAACTCCTTGTACTGGATCATGAATGCCATCCCTTTGACCATAATCCTCAGGGACTGTGTTTGATAACTGTGGAAACATGGAGGACGGGAAGAATCGTGGAGAGGGCAGGATGTGGCTCTTCTGGGAACATGGTCACCAATTAGCATCCATGTGAGGGTTTGACCCAAGTCTATGTGAAAGGTGTTGTATCTACTGGAACTCATAAACTTTATACTAGGGAGAGGCAAAGAGCGTCCATCAGGTGGGGAGGTCGGGCAGACTGAATCTCCAGACTTGCTTCAAGTAACTGACTTTGCATCTTGAAATAGACCTTGTCAAAGATGGAGGCCCCCGGGGCGCTAGCCTGTTCCTGCCCCTTGTGTGATGATGGTGGTTTCTCTGATGTGGGAAGCTTTTGTTTTTCCTCCTCCTTCCTTCTGAACAGATCATTAGAGAGGAATTAAACAGACATGACCTATGACCTCCTCAGATGACCTCCACAGATGATAAGCCAGGGCCAGCACATTTTTTTCACAGTGTCTTTTTCTCAAGCGAAATTAATGGAAGTTCTGGAAATGGTAGTTAGCTTTCTGACTTGTTAGGGTTTAGGAACCCTGGATCAATAAGAATAAGTGGGGGTGTTCTTGATGATTTGGCCGGAGGCGGAAAGTGGTGGGCGATTGAGGTGTCTGAGCAGTAGCCTGACTTCCATCGGTGCGTGGAGCTACAGTATGAGGATGGAATGGTCTGCAGGCTTTCTAATCCCGGCCAGAACTACACTGTTGAACCTTGAGTTCTGTGAGATGCCCCTGCAGCATTGAGACCCATGACAGTGTTCAGCTGTAAGGTGTGGTTTGGTGTCTCAACCAGCTCCTTGGTCAGAAGAGGATTCCCCAAGCTGCCAGGCCTGCTGGCTGCTATGGCTGGGATTACAGGCGTGCACCACATGCCCAGCTGTGTCCTACTAGAGAAATGCCCCCCAGGCCATGGGCCTGTGTGGGCTGCTGCTGCTGGAGCACATGTGGTCTTTGGGCTTCTCATTTCAGGATGCCCCGTGCCCACCTATCCAGGTGAAGAGATGGATGATTTGACTGGATCCTGAATACGCTCCTGACTTCTGATTTCCTGTTCCTTGCTTCTGCCCAGTCCGTATTCTTGCTGTACAGAGGCAGCTACCATCAGTGAGAAGAAGGATCCGAGGACAGGCTTGCAGACCAGTGGCCTCTGGAATGCCCAGGCAGTGACCTCATAAAGCAGAGATTCCCTTGGTGGACCCCTCTCTGCTGCCCCCTGGAGTCCAGACAGAAGGGATCCCTGAGCAGAGATTTTTTTTTTCAGTCACATGATCCAAAGTGAGGAGTAAAGCTTGAAAATTTGAACAATGACCCAGCATGTGGACAAGGAATCTAAGAAAAAAGCTTCTGGTTCATTGTTACATATTGCATCTGAGGCTGTCCATTCAAGAATCAAGAATCTGAAGTAAATCACTCCCTCTCTCTGTTGCTAAGAGTTGTGCTGAGGAGGTGGATACCTGTGGTCACTCCTGTCACGCTAGACTTTCCTACCTGGGCGGGCTTTGAACCTTGATCCTCAGATCTCAGCCTCCTGAGTAGCTAGGATGACAAGTGTTAGCCACTGGCGCCTGGCCTAGTGGTTTTTCTTAGATATTTTTTTTGTTTGTCCCGGGGCTTGAACTCAGGGCCTAGGTGCTGTCCTTTAGCCTTTCCACTCAATTGAACTCAGGGCCTGGGTGCTGTCCTTTAGCCTTTCCACTCAAGACTTTCCCTTAAGCCACACCTCCACTTCTTGCTATTAGTTTTTCCTTATGGACTGAGAATATTTAATAGTGTTTACATTGTGTCTTTGTATTACCCGACAGTAGTCATCACTAAACAAAATTGGTTGACTACACGGACTACTGGCAGTTCATATCCATAATCAGAGCTTCTCAGGAGACTGAGAGCTGAGGATCACAGTTTGAAGCTAGCCCAGACAGGAAAGTCCATGAGGCTCTTATCTCCAATTAGCCACCAAAAAGCCAGAAGCAGGGCTATGGGCTCAAGTGGTAGAGCATTACCTTTGAGCGAAGGAGCTCAGGGGCTGTGCTCAGGCCCTGAGTTTAAGTTTCAGTACTGGAACACACAAAAAAATTGACCCAATGAATAAAGACAGAGGAGGGGCTGGGAATGTTGCTCAGTGGTAGAGTGCTTGCCTCCCATGCATAAGGCCCTGGGTTCCATTCCTCAGTACCACATAAACAGAAAGAGCTAGAAGTGGCACTGTGGCTCAAGTGGTAGAGCACTAGCTTTGAGCTGAAGAGCTGAGGGACAGCACCCAGGCCCAGAGTTCAAGCCCCATGACCAAATAAATAAATAAAGGCAGAGGATTCCTTGGCAGAGGGAGGAAGCTGGGTGCTGGTGGTTCACACCTGTCATCCTAGCTACTCAGGACACTGAGATCTGAGGATCAAGGTTCAAAGCCAGCCCGGGCAAGGAAGTCCATGAGACTTTTTTTTTTTTTTTTTGGTCAGTCATGGGGCTTGAACTCTGGGCCTGGGCACTGTCCCTCAGCCCTTCAGCTCAAGACAAGCACTCTACCACTTGAGCCACAGTGCTACTTCCTGTTTTCTGGTGGTGCATTGGAGATAAGAGTCTTATAGACTTTCCTGCCCAGGCTGGTTTTGAGCCGTGATCCTCAGGATCTCAGCCTCTTGGGTAGCTAGGATGACAGGCGTGAGCCACTGGCGCCGGGCTCCATGAGACTCATCTCCAGTAAACCACCAGAAAGCCTTAAATGGTGCTTTGGCTCAAATGCTAGAGTGTTCTCCTTGACTGGAAAAAAAACAAAGGAGGGAGGAGGGGTTGCATGTGCATGTGTTTATATTCCCTTGCCCCTCATCCCTTCGTTGGGTGTATTGTGGGAATGTAGCTCTCCTATGGTAACCAAACCTTCCCCTCTCCTTCTCCTAGGAGGCGAGACCATCAGTGCCAGGCGTTCATGAGGAAGGTCATAGAGAGCGGCATCTTCAGGACACTTATCATCACCACCATCTCTCTCAATGCCTTTTTCATGGTCTTGTGGACCAGTTATGACATCCGATACCGCTTGTTCAGGGTATTTGAGGTAAGTGGGAAGAGCAGGCCCGTTTTATTTCTGAAAATGTTGTAAGGTTTTGAAGGCATTTTGGGGGGCCATTTTCCCATAGAGAAAAGAATCCTAAGGATTTTTTTTTTTTTGTTGGTCGTGGGGCCTGAACTCTGGGCCTGGGCGCTGTCCCTCAGCTCTTCAGCTCAAGGAGAGTGTTCTACCACTTGAGCCACAGCACCACGTCTAGCTTTTTCTGCTTATGTGTTGCTGAGGAATTGAACCAGGGCCTCATGCATGCAAGGCAAGCGCTCTACCACTGAGCCACCTTCGCAGCCCCCCTAAGGACTTTTAAAATATATTTTGAGCTGGGTGCCGGTGGCTCACACCTGTCATCCTAGTTACTCAGGAGGCTGAGATCTGAGGATCTCCATTCAAAGCCAGCCCAGGCAGGAAACTCCCTGAGACTCCTATCTCCAATGAACCACCAGAATACCGGAAGTGGCACTGTGGCTCAAGTGATAGAGCACCAGCCTTGAGAAAAAAAAAAAAAAAAGTTCAGGGACAGTGCCTAGGACCTGAGTTAAAGTCCTAGGACTGGTGTGTGCATGCACCTGCACGCACGCACATGCGTGCACGCACACACACACACACACATACGATGGAAGAAACTATAATGTGGCTAGTAAGGAAAAGGAAGTTATCAGATTTTGCTCTGGTAAAACTTTATGCCAAATGAAACAATGGAACCCTGAAGTGTTGACTGTAATCGCTCACATAAGAGGTAAAGGCAGGAGGTTTGTGAGTTCAAGCCCAGCCTAGGCTACCTAGTTAAGACCTGCCTCAACAAATTTTTCTTTTAAATAATAATGAAGCAACGTATTTAAGATACTTTTCAGCACAGAAAATGTAAAGCAAGAAAACGAGAGCATCCAAAGTGACTGGCAGGACAGTGGAATCGAAACTGAAAATTTAGAAATAAGCTCAAATATCGATGGCCAGTTGGTTTTAGACAAGGCTGCCAAAGCCACTGGATGGAGGAAGAACAGTCTCCAACCTTCTCCACCTTCACCATTCTTCACCTTCTCTATGAGGATATTGAATTGTCCCAGGAAATTGTGTGAGAGTAATCCACAAGTACAAGAGTCCGGTTGGACCCCTCCCTCACACCATACATACAAATGAACCCCAAAGAAACCTGAACATGCTGGGCACCAGTGACTCACACCTATAATCCTAGCTGCTCAGGAGGCCGAGAAGGATTGCAGCTCAAAGCCAGCCTGGGCAAGAAAGTCCGTGAGACTCTTATCTCCAATGAACTACCAGAAAACCAAAAGTGGCACTGTGGCTTAAGTGGTAGAGTGCTAGTCTTGAGCTGAAGAGCTCAGGGACACGCCCAGGCCCAGAGTTGAAGCCCCACAGCCAACCAAAAAAAAAAAAAGAAGAAGAAGAAAGGAAATGTACGCACTAAGTATAAGAGCTAAAACTCTTAGAAGAAAACACAGACAGTAATTGTAATCACCCTGGATTGGGTAAAGGGTAGAGGAGAAACTGAACACCTAGGCAAGAAAATAGATAAATTAAGCTTGCCAACATTAAAATAATTTGTTTCATCCAAGAACACTGTTATTGTTGGGCATCAGTGGCTCATACCTGTAATTCTGACTATTCAGGAGACTGAGATCTGAGGACCCAGGTTCAAAGCTAGACCAGGCAGGAAAGCCCCAGAAACTTTTTTTTTTTGGGTCCGGTCGTGGGGCCTGAACTCTGGGCCTGGGCGCTGTCCCTCAGCTCTTCAGCTCAAGGCGAGTACTCTACCACTTGAGCCACAGCGCCACTTCCGGCTTTTTTCTTTTTGCTTATGTGGTGCTGCGGAATCGAACCCAGGGCCTCATGAATGCAAGGCAAGCGCTCTACCACTGAGCCACCTTCCCAGCCCGCCCCAGAAACTCTTATCTCCAATTAAACACCAAAAAGCTGGAAGTGGAGGTGTGGCTCTAGTGATAAGAACACTAACCTTGAGCAGGAAAGCTCAAGGAAAGTGCCCATGCCTTGAGTTCAAGCCCCATTTCCACCAGTACTACCAACAATAAAAACTCACAACAAAACAATCTAGATCAAAAAGGAGTAAAGAACTTGAAAAGATAATTTCTCCAGAGATATTACAAATGGCCAATAAGCCTATGAAATAGTTATCAGCATCAACAGTCCTTCGGGAAATGCAAATTAAAAACACAATGACAAGGCCTTATAACTCTGTCTACTCAGGAGGCTTAGATCTGAGGATCATAGTTTAAAAAGCCAGCCCAGGCAGGAAAGTCTGTGAGACTCTTCTCTCCAATTAACCAATGACAGAACCAGAAGTAGTGGTGTGGCCCTCAAATAGTAGGGCACCAGCCTTGTGTAGAAGCAGTTAAGGGATACCACCCAGGCCCTGAATTCAAGCCCCACTACTAGTACAGCAAAACAAGACACAACAATGTACAATGTCTCACCTGATAGGATGACTGTTTGCTGTAGTTTTATAAACAAACGTTTGTGAAAACGGATGTGTGTTGCTTGTAAGAACATCGAATGGTCCAAACACCATGGACAGAAGGGGTTAAGCAGGTAAAAGATCTAGTCATCCTGCTTCTGTGTACATGGACAAAAGAACAGAAAGCAAGAATCCAACGGATGTTTGTGCCTCTGAGTACAGCAGCTTTATTTATAATAGGCAAAAGGTAAGAGCCACCCAGATGCCCACAGACATGAATGGATACACAGAAGTGATGCGTGCAGACGATGGACTGTTAACAAGGTTTTAAAAAGGAATTCGGATGAGCTACAATGTAGATGAGAACTTGACTTTAAGTGAAAGCCAGACACAGAAGGACAAATGCTCTATGGTTACACTTACCTGAAGCACCTCGAATGGGCAACTTCATAGAATACTTTGCCAGAGACTTGAGGGGTTGAGTGGAAAGTCTCTGATTGGGATAAAGAAGGCCTGACACTGAATACACAATGCCACTTGATTGTACCTCTCCAAATATTTAAAAGGGTACATTTTATACTATGTGTCTTACCTATTCACTACAATTAAAAAAACAAAAGGAGCCAGGCACTGGTATTTCATGCCTGTCATCCTAGCTACTTAGGAGGCTGAAATCTGAGGATCACAGTTCAAAGCCAGCCCTAGTAGTGAAGTCTGTGAGACTCTGATCTCCACTAAACAATCAAAAAAGGAAAAAGCCAGTAATGGAACTGTGGCTCAAGTGGAAAAGTGCTAACCTTGAGCAAAAGAAGCTCAGGGTCAGTGCCCAGGCCCCCCAAGTTCAAGTTCCAGGACCAGCACACACACACAAAGGAATTGGTACCCCAAACTTTAAAGTGGAAGAATTATATAGTATGTGAATTATCTCAATTAAGTCAATAATTAACATCATGAAACATGCCTAAAATCTCAGCTTTCAGGAGACTGAGATAGGAGGATCATAAATTGAGGCAAGTCTGATTTCCATAGTAAGAACTTATCACAAACAAAACAACAACAACAACAACAACAACAAAACCCAAACCAACCAACCAATCAAAAAAAAAACAAAAAACCAATAAGGGGATAAAACTCAATGGTAGAGCACTTGCCTAGCATAGATGTGAACATATACACATTCAATCTCCAGCACTGCCAGTATGTATATATGTATATAGAGAGAATATATATAAACACATATATTCAGTACATATACAGATATACTGAAATCTTGGGAAAGGAGCAACAAGAGCAACAGGATAAAGTAAAACCAAAACTAGTAGAATGAAGGAAATAGCAAAAGTAAAAACAGAAACAGTAAAAATAAAAACAGACTCAAGTCATTCAAAGTACCTCTGGGCACTGATGGCTCACACCTATAATCCTAGCTACTCAGGAGGCTGAGATCTGAGGATCACAGTTCAAAGCCAACCAGGGCAGAAAAGTTCCTGTGAGACTTATTTCCAACTAACCACCAGAAAACCAGAAGGGGCGCCATGCCTCCAAGAGGTAGTGTTTAACCTTGAGTGGAAAAGCTCAGGGACAGCGCCTAGGCCCTGAGTTCAAACCCCATGATGGGGGTGGCGGGGTGGGGGGGAGGGGAGGAAGAAAGGGCAGGGGGCCGGGAAGAACCAAGAAAGTCAAAAGTTAGATCTAGATCTAGTTACAAAATAAGAAACTTTCTCCCTGAAACAATCAAAATAAGTAGAAGACCTGGATCACAGGAATTAA